CTACACTGCACCAGAGTATGAAGGCAGGATCACCTTCTTCATGTCGACTGGATCTCTGGAGCTCAGGAACTTGGCTATTGCTGACAGTGGAGATTATTCAGTTACCATTTTAGAAACTGGAAAACGACCACAGACAGGGAGCACAAGACTGAAAGTTGAAGGTGAGAGACATTTTTAACATGTTGCATATCTTTTTGTGCTGAATGAAGATTTTGCGTAGCGATTGAGCAAGGAAACAATGATATAAGGCTTTTTATTCTTTGCACCACCATTATCAAATAACAATGTAGAAAGATTCTCTTTTTTCATGGATGGAGCTTGTAAAAACATTCAATGTGGAGCCATTAATAATCCATATCTCATCTTAAACATGAGACTCACTCTCATCTGCTTCAGTGTTTATTTTATACTGTAACTTTACAAAATAATTGTTGTGCTTCACCCACAGCACCAGTCTCCAATGTAATGGTAACCTCCAGCAGCACAGAGCTGGTGGAGTTCAACAGCTCCGTCAGTCTGTCCTGCTCCTCCTCTGGATCCTCTCTCTCTTTCCTCTGGCTGAACAGCAGCTCTGAGGTTACAGGAAGTGACAGAGTTCAGATCACTGATGGAGGATCCACTTTAACTATAGTTAATGTGACCCGCTACGACCAGGGACCCTTCAGGTGTCGTGTATCTAATCCTGTCAGTGAGGGAACCAGTGATCCACTAACCCTCACCATCTACTGTGAGTCACTTCACCACTGAGTTGATGAACAATATGCTTTTTTTTAATGGTATTTCCATAAATTGCAATCAGCAATATATTACACATTTGTTACTTTGAGTTTGAAGATATATTTGGTGTACATCTAACGTCTCGTACATTTCAGCAAATGCTAAATATGTACAAAGAGACAATGAATTCAGTTATAGGTATACTTTCTAGATTAGCCAATTTGAACTTCATCATAATTAAAGTGTATCATAAAGAACTAACATTACAAATTACAATCTGAAAAAACAGATTAGTTAAATAAATGCCAGTTTGACAAAACATTAACAAAAACTGAAATTAAAGTGCCCTCTATTGTGCATGGCATTTCTAAAATCCTTCAAATAAACGTTTTGTTTCTTGTACCATTGTCATAAGATAATAAGTAAAAACAATCAAGTTTTTTTTTGTGTGGCAATATGCAGCCATGAATATGAATGATATGATCTTGATCACAAGGTATATTCTCCTGCACCTTTAAAAACATGTTTTGTTTTTTAACCCACAGCACCAGTCTCCAATGTAACAGTAACCTCCAGCAGCACAGAGCTGGTGGAGTTCAACAGCTCCGTCAGTCTGTCCTGCTCCTCCTCTGGATCCTCTCTCTCTTTCCTCTGGCTGAACAGCAGCTCTGAGGTTACAGGAAGTGACAGAGTTCAGATCACTGATGGGAATTCCACTTTAACTATAAATAATGTGACACGCTACGATAAGGGAGCATTCAGCTGCCGTGTATCTAATCCTGTCAGTGAGGGAACCAGTGATCCAGTAACCCTCATCATCTACTGTGAGTTACATGCTCGATTTTTTTGCTTTCTTTGAATTGCTGTTTTGTTTTCCCTTACATTCAGTTGGCCATACATTATTTATCAGACAATATTTCCTTTCCAAGACTCATGTGTGGAAAGATCACAACGATGTTCATTTTTGGAAATCCCTTTTGTGTATACGTGTATATATATATATATATACATAATTCAGTTATTAATGCATACTAACTTTTTGATGTTTATCCCCTAATTTCAGATGGCCCAGAAAATGTTAATTTGAAAATATCTCCGCCTCATGCACCCTATCTGGAAGGATCAAACATCAGCCTGAGTTGCTCAGCTGTCTCCAACCCTTTGGTCCACTATACATGGTTTCTGAATGGGGGCCTGCTGTCAAAAGGATCGCAGTTCAATCTGACAAACAGTCAGAAAAATCAAAGTGGAAGCTACAGCTGTCAGGCGTTTAACAACAAAACTCTGAGATATGAAACATCTCATCCTGTAACCATCTCTGTACTGGGTAAGTTTTGTACAAAGAAATACAGATGGAAAATATGGGATGTATCTGAGAATAAAGCATCGGATATGTAAGGGATAATGTGCAAGGGGCACTGCGCGTTGGGATCCTGCTCACTTTTTTTTATATTTGATCGCCTCGCTGCACATTTTCCCTCTTATTACAAGGCTACATACTACATACAAAATCATGACCCACAATATTGATTGATCGTATTGCCAAGAACAAATAAAGGTTCTCTGTAACTGTTCAGTTTATTTTCCATTTACCAGTCTTTAAACTTGGCTAGAGCCTACACCGTGTTCCTGTTAGTGTTTACTTCCTGTCTGTCTTCTTCTGTTGATTTATATGACGTCAAACGCTCTGTCTTATGGCCTCTATTCTTATGTTTTTTCATTTTTCTTTTCTTTTCTGGTGACGGTTTCGACATCGTGAATCAAACGTTTTGTGATTTTCACAAATATAAAAAATAATTTATAGAAAGTTTTCCGCAATGTTTCCTGATGGATGGAAATAAATATCTAATTGATATGATTGCACAACTGTGGACCCTTGATCCTTGGCGACGGTCTGCTGTCCATAGTTGCAGTCTTCTAGCGAAAAATAATAGACCTCTGGAATGTGCTAATTGACCAATCAATCAAGTATTCAACTAAGCCGTGCAATTACTAATATTTTAAATATAATGTAGGAAGGTCTTATTAAACATTTGTGGAACAAAAATAAACAACAACTACATATGTTTGCAATTAAGATAGATCTGCAATCTTTGCTGGTACAGCGATGGCTTAAAATAAAAATGCATGAAGACGTACAAAATACTTGCTTTCAGGCTAGTAGCCGAGTGAAAATTGTGGCTTGATATGGTGGCTGACTGTTACAGTGGCTTAAAACATTTTCATCAGAGAAATTCGCTGCATTTTCAAAAACACAAATGTTTCCAAAAACATGCACATTAAGAAACATCTTCACCAACTTGACAAAACATGTGCAGCATTTTCTAAAAGCGCGGAATAAAGCGCAGAATAAACTGTAAATACAAAATTCTGCAAATAAAAAACGCGAGAAGCTCAAAACACAACGGAAACCAGGGGACACTAAATAGTGATGCACACAGTTGGGACCGGAGTGCTTGTTGACGTTCGTGGATCATAAAGTTGGACTGTCACTGTTGTTAGAAAGCAACCGTTTTATTGGCTAATTCTAACAATGTCATTGCTTGATTCCTAACCTATCCAACCATGTAATTTAAAATAAACTGACAAGACACTGACAATTATCAAACAGTCTAACTCTGCTAACAATGAAAGCCAGCTATATAATCCCCAAATATCAACAAGTGCCCTGGTCCCGGCTGCTATTTGCAGCATTTAGTTTATGCAGCTATTTCCGTAATGTTTTCGTGAATGTTTTTTAAATGCTGTACATGTGTGAAAATGTTTCTGCCATTGCACGTGTTTTGGCACATTTGTGTTTTTATATTTGCATAGATTCTGAAGCTGTTTTGGGCCATTGTGGCGTGTTTGCCGCTATCGGCCACCGTAGATAGCAGAGGTAACTAAAGGGTTAGGGGTTAACACTTATAGTTCCATGTCTTGTTACATAAGAATAGACCATATTTGTTAAGTGTTATTATGGGAGAATTACTATTCTTGTGGCACTACTGCCTTATTAGGCCAATATTGAGCATATTAAGACCAAAACTCATGTACAATAACTTCCTTAACCTCTTAACAACGAGGGTCCCCCCAGTGGACCCCCC